CTGAGCACGTTTTCGAAGACGAGCTTTTGAGAATTCTTTCACGGCCTGAAGGTATTAGGAATTAAAAGCAGTATGGGACTGTGGGGGCAAGTAGAAACTCACATACTCGTGGCCAAACTGATCCGTCGCGAGATGAACGGCGCCATATGAGCCTCTCCCAATCTCCTCCAAGATGGTATATTGGTTCACGCGGTGATGCGACTTTCCATCGGGATCTTCGTTTCCGAACTGCGTCTGCGCATCGAGGGTTTCCTATAAGAGAAGGTGAGCCGAGGTCCATGAGTTTAGGTTGCGACGATAAGACCTTGACTTCGCGATGGGCACTCGGGGTCCGCTTGTGGTGTCGCATGGGGCTCGAGAAGCGATGAACAGCGGTAGGCTCGGTCCTAGCATTGGGTCGCGGTGTCAGGCAAAGTCTATGGGCTCAAGGCGCGTTGGCCTGGTGTTGGACTTACAGGTGGTGGGCGAGGGGTGGCGGGGGGCTGTCGTCGACGGCTTCATCGTGGCAGTCGACCTTGACCTGAGGCGATGGGAAAGTGAAAGACTGTCTGATCTCAGGGACCGGCGCGGATTGAGAGGTATCCATGGTAGAAGAGAGGCAGGGTCGAGCGGCACTGGCGTGAGGAGAATGGATGGGTATGAGGATGCGCGTCTGTCCTGTTTTTCGGTGGATTTGCTTGCCCCGCACCCCGCGATGTGAGGGGGGACGATGATGGGCTTGAACGTCACGTCACGGTTTGCGCCTTGAGTTGAGAGACGAGGTTTGACAAGAAGTCAAGGGAGAGAGTGTGAGAGAGAGATTGTGGAGGAGAGTGAGGGTCACAATGGGTAAAAAGGCAAGATTGGGCTAATGGGCTTTGGGGTCATTGAGACGGGAATCAACTTGTTTTGGTCTTGTGGCTGCTTATTCCAGTTGGAGACATCCAATAGCTGCGGTATAGTGCCTGGTAACTACCTACAACCAAACAGTTACCGAGAAGGGCAGATGGCGCGCCGGCAGCTGACGCCTTGTGGTCCCTTCAGGTTCCTTCCCTGCTGCCATGCCGGGCTGGACGGCACCTAGCATAAGTTTATGGGAAGGCGCGGCGACAGGCAGGGCGGATTCAGCACTGAAGGCTGACTGTGACTGACGGAGCCCCCGAGGCAGGTACAGTACAGTTCCGTTCCTTCTGCTCCCTGCTCCCCTGCCAGCCCCTGTCACGATCCCGTCAAAGACCCTCGGCCCCACTAGAGCTCAATGGGCCGGGCTTTTGAGTGGGGGAGGCGGTGCAGGTCTGGTCTTGTCTGCGTTGAGGCTCAGTGGATCCTTCCGTCTCATCCATGATAGATGGGACAACTCTTCCATCCGATCTACCTATCGCGACCCCGACTTCATTCGCTCCGCGGCGTCGCATCTTGAAATCTGATCTTTGACGACCAAATACTGCCATTCACTCACTCAAGACTCCTGGCGCATAGTCTCTGCTCATCAAGGAACACCTTGCGAAACTTCTACACCCTCACGCTTCTCGCCGTATCCCCCTTAAACCGCCATCATGGTTGTCTACTCATTCCACATCTTTGACCGGCACAGTAAGTCCCCCCCCCCCTTGCTCCCTATACCATATAACCTCACAAACCTAACCAAACCCTCAAGCCGAGTGCATCTACTCCAAGTCCTGGCTCCCGCCGTCCACAAACCCATCCGACCCCGATGCCCCCGCAGCAAACACCCAGGCCCCGACGACTTCGTCCGACGACGCCAAGCTCATCTTCGGCACCGTCTTTTCCCTGCGCAACATGGTCCGCAAGCTCGGCGGCGACGACGACGCCTTCATCAGCTACCGCACCGCCCAGTACAAGCTGCACTTTTACGAGACCCCCGCCAACCTGCGCTTCGTCATCCTCACCGACACGGCTACTCTGAGCATGCGCAACGTGCTGCACCAGATATACATTAACCTGTGGGTGGAATACGGTATGTTTGAGGAGTTTCCGGATGTGCGGAAGAGTTGCTAATTTGGATCGCAGTGGTCAAGAATCCTCTGGCGCCGGTTGAGCACAAACATGGTGATGGCGTCAAGAATGAGCTCTTTGAGCTTGGACTGGATCAGTTCATCAGGGGGTTGATGTGAGCGCTTGCGATAGAGAATAAGCGCCGCAGGAAATAAGACTACCCTGGTCTCAAGGACAAAGGAATCAAGCAGCTCCAAGAGCCAGCAGCTTGGACTTGTCATCCATCGAGGGGAGATGGATTTACGAGGGAGTCTTTCTCGACCCCTCCCCGACTCAGACCATCGAGGCACGAGAACAGGACGGGGGCCTCCGCACGATGATCCAGCCCAGGAACAAGCAACGACATCTCAACCGCAGATGGCAACCAGGAAAGGGCCCCAAGTTGACCCATGAATCGCGTCGAGCCAAGATAGAGACACATCACGATCGTAGCAAAAGGAGGCAGACGAAGTAGACGAAACAGACAGACAAGACTATACCCAACGCCGATTCCGGCATGACAAAAATATTACACGGGGAGATAAACTAACCCCCCCCCCCCAAGATCCCAACTAAGCTATGCCCTTACCTATTCCCTTCTAGAATACCATTGTATGTTTGTTTGTGTGTGCCTCGGCGAATCCAGATGTAAAACCAGTCCCTGTACAGCTCGTTTATATCAACCAACTCATGGCATTTCCCGGCAAGACTCCTCATATGCATTACACGAATACGGCCTCAACGCCTGAACTCACGACGACGACTTGGTATCCACGGCTCGTTCCCATGCGCTCTCGAATCCTCCCTGTGAGTCCACCACAACGACGCTCGACTCGCCTTGTGTCTGCGTCTGAGTCGTCTGTGTCTGTGTTTGTGCCTGCAATGTTTTGCCACTGGCCTGTGAAGTACCCAGATCAACAGCGCTGGCCATGAGGTCGTCATCGGCGCGGATTTCCTGCTCCCAGTTGCTAGAATAGACCACGGCGGCAAACGCCTCGAGGTCGCGGACCGTCTCCATCTTCTGCAGGTACTCATTGGGCATACCGTTGCCGATGACATGAGCCTGGCGCGTCAGCACCGACATGATCTTGGGCAGCAGGATCACCTTGGACCGTCGCTGATCCTTGAGCTCTGGGGAGACGATTCCATCTGATGCAGGCAGCTCGAAGGCCGCTGTGGCGAGCTTGTTATCCACCAGGTATGAGAAGCCAGCATCAAGGAGCAGAGTTAGCACATGGGAGAAACTGGGCGACTCGATAAGGTCGGCCGTCTCGTCGAGGAGGCGGCGCAGGATAGCCTGCGATGCGGCTGCTGTCGGGTCTTCTCCCTCTTGGGCCGGGGCCTCGTCGAGGATACCCGACTCCCGAATCACCTCATCCTCCATATCCTTGGGTGGGAGGAGGAATCGGAGCCAGTCGCATTTGCGGCGCTCCTCAGCTGTAGATCCCTCAACCAGCTTCCTCACCTCCATAGTCAACTCGGAGAAACGTTCAAAGCTCAGGAGGTCCCTGGGGCTGAGGCTGCCAAAGACAGTACGCACAGCGCTCTCGACACGGCGCATGAGGTCGGCCCAGCCCTTGTTAAGCAGCCACCAGCTGAAGGTCAGGTACTTTCGGTTTATGTCAAAGTCGCTGCCGTATGTCTGCTCCGTGTTGTCGTCATCGTTGTTCTCGAGGCTGATGGTGCCTTGCTGACCACCCGTGGCGAGGGCTACCACGCTTGAGAGGTAGCTTCGTCGGCCGAGGAGGTTAAGTTGCACCCGGGTCAGCAACGTCAGTAGGGCGAGGGTGTAGATGAGCGTGAAGGATCGCGTCACGGCTGTTGGTGTGTCAGTTATCTAGTACATGATGCTGGGGAGAGCTTGGCTTACCACTGATGGTCACATCATCCCATAGCTGCCGCTTCGTCTTTCGTGGCTTGGGCAGAGAAGCTCCATCCTGCTGGCCTGCTTCTCCTCCGGCGGCAAAGGGTGACGGCGTTGCAATCTGGCTGGCATGGATCCCGCTCTCGCTCTGTATGCTCTGACTGACCATGCTCTTTCCATCATCCTCTGTCAACGTCGTGTCGGCGATGCTTGGCGGCGTGATGGACTCGGCGGCACCATTCTTGATGGCCTTGGTGGCCTTCATCTGCTGGATCTCATATGTGATCTGCTCTGTGTTCATGGCCTCGATAATGGCGGTGGTCGCGGAGGGGAGGAGGGCCAGCACGGTAAAGGTGCAGTCCTCCTGGTTCTGCTCGAAGCGGCGTCGCAGGCTGTGAGTGTCACGTTAGCAAAAGTGGTGACACGATGATGATCCAGTAACAGGCGGTATACTCACTTCTCCTTGGCGATGCGATCGCTGCTCATGCGTTCGCGTGCATCGTTGAGCTTGGATATGACATACTGTGTCGCGACGTAGCCGGCGCCAATGACGCCGACGCCAACGGCGATGGGCGTCCGGTTGTTGCGCAACCAGCGCCGCATGGAGGTGAACATGGCTTGGAGGGGACGGGTCAATTGCTCATGGGGAGTAGGAAGCTGTGGCTTTGTTTCTGATGAATGCGATCCCCCTGTGAGGATCAGGTGGCGGGAATGTGAAAACGAAGGGATGTGGACGGAAAAGAAACCGTTGGGCTTTTTCTATGATGGGCTGCCCCAACGATAGGTTGTCGCGAGCTGAGGGTTTGAATATCAAAGTACTCGGTACCTCGGCCCCGGGAGGAGGTTCCAATCGATCATGGAACACGCACGGCACGGGGAAAGAGGCGAATGTGCACCTGCCTGCTGCTGAAAGTGTGGCTGGTGTCTTTATCATGTGGCTAGTTGAGTCTAGACTAAATGCGGTTGACCTGATTGCCGCATGCCCCGTGCCCCTCCGCATTCCCCGATGTGGTGGTCAGCCCAGGAGAAAAGTGACGTTGGTTTGAGTTGAAGGTGGGTATGATGAACAAAACTCTCTCTTCTACAACAACCTCTTTCACTCTCTCCGTCACTGATAATGATTGTAGCCCAGACTCGAGTTCAAGATACGGCAACGCGCACCATGGAACAGCAGGAGCCACCCGAGTTCCTATTAGACGTCTTTGCCGACCCGCGCTCAGTCCACGACGTTGTCAAAGGTGAGTTGAGGTCCTTGTTTAACGTCACCCTACCCTATATATCCCACCCCGCAATCCCGTGACGGGCCTTGACGACGACGACGACCAACGAGGTCGCGATAGTCCGGAATCGGCGAGAATGCGATCGCGACAGCACCTGCGAAACATTGTCGGATGAAATAATGGGCTGACGGCTTTGCGCTAGGTATCTTGCATGCCATCTTCTTCCATCGCTTCTTCCCCTCCGTCGTCCCCCAGACCCGCGAGGTTCTCGACATCACCCTACCCCACGTCGATGACGATGAACTCGAGACCATGATCGAGCAGCGCGTCGCTGCACTGGAGCGACAACTCGACGCACAGCGCTCCTCCGGCGGAGCCGCAAACACGGGAACGGGTACAGAGGGCGGGGGTCGCGGGCAGCTGGCTGTCCAGTTCTTTGAAAAGCGCCGGCGCAAGGCGTGGTTGTCACGAGGAGACGAGGAGGTCTGCTGGGAGACTTGGACTGTTAAAGTAACAGTTGCTGAGCCGAGGACAGAGAGTGGTAAGGAACCCCCCTTGCCAGTCCTTTTATCTTGCGCATGGGAATGGTAGGTATTATCGCGACTTTCGCTCACATTACCATCGCATAGAACGAGCCAAGGTCCGGCGCGCAATGGAGCAAACGCTCCTCACCTCAGCCATGAAGATTGTCACATTCACCAACACACACAAAGACCATATCCCACCAATCACGACACAGGGAACGAACCCCTTCCCCTACAAGATCAACCTAGACCAGAAGGAGGCAACAGGCTGGGCGACACGGATGCGTATATATTGAGAGGAATTGAGTTATTCAACTAATGACGACGATTCCCCTATAAGGGGGTACTGAGTTGCCAAGTTGGATAGTTAAAAAGGGACCGAGAACAGACAGGAGGGCAGAACATACACGGGAGTGGTTGCCTGGGAGGCGGATGAAAGATCTCGATCGTGCAGTTAGCCTCGATCAATCTAGAGATGGAAGCGTAGATCACACATAGACAGCCTAGTCGGGCAAGGCGATACGATGGCGTTTACGGAGTTGAGTTTGGAATCTCGATTGGTACAAGACACACAATAGATACCCCGTTGCCACGCACGACTCAGCCGCCTAGCACATGATGGTCAACACTCACGATTCCCGACAAACCTGCCGCCGGCAACGAGGCTGAGACCACAGTCTCAGACGCTCGAGTCAGCCAACACGTAGTTGTGATCTAGAACCCAAACCAAGGCTTTACGAGTATTGGCACAACCATTGGCACAAGCATGTGGACATTTGAATTAAGAAGCATAGTAAGCTAGAAAAAGAAATGATTCATCATGTTAAAAGGATAGTAGTTATAACGCTGGCCTCGGGTAGCTTCTCTCCGAACCTAGTAACAAAGGGATACACGCAAACATACGCAGGGTGTAGAGTACACAATTCTTCCAGAGCCACACGGGGGCCATCCAAACTCCGAGCAACCAAGAAAACACGCAACATGCAAGTTGAGTTAAAAATCAAAGAGGGTAGAGCATCAACGCAACCAAAACCAAACGCACATGCCAAATCAACCAATCAATCAATCAATCGTCATCCAGTGGTGTCCCGAGCCTCACACGAGCTCTCTCTTTCCTCCGCGCCCGAAAGTCATTATCGTCGTCAACTGCCAGCCGCGAAGCCTTTCTGAGAGCCCGGCAAGCACCGAGCCTCCCTGTTCTAGTCCATACCGGACAAATCCAAACGTGTCCAAGCCACAATGGAGCACAGACATGGCCGTCTCTCGAGGAGGAAATTGGAAGTTTTCTTCTTCTTTTCGTCAAGTCATTAATCTCATCATTACGCTTTGTGTTGTTTGTCGTCTCCGCCGCTTCATTTTCTGGTGGGTAGGTGGGTAGTTGTATGCGTCTTAAAATGCAGTAGAATAACTCCGACCCAGCCCGGGCTTGCTGCCTCTGGGGTTGGCCGAGTTGGAGTTGGTAGAGTTGTCGTTGTCGTTCGAGGTGTTTTGTGATCCGGAGCCAATCTTCTCGAATCCCTTGAAGATGTCTAGGTTCGAAAAGTTTGCGACATCCGGTGTACTGTGGTTCATGAAGCCAACAGGATCCATCATCATCGAGGGCCAGTCACAGTCGGCAGGGAGATCTGGCAGGCTGGCAAACTTGGAAGGGGACTGGTTCCTGATGGGGGATTGCTGGAACATCCTAGATGGCGAGCTGAGGCCTTCAAAGCTCTTGCTGGGGCTGTCATAAGCAGCAGATGGCTCGGGAGCCTTGAGCAGGGGGGCGGAAGCGATGGGCTTTTTGATGGCAGAGTTTGTGATCTCACCCAGGGCGGATGTAGAGACAGATCGATCCAGCCGATTACGCTTGACAGAACGCTTGACAGGGGATCCAGCTTCGGCTGAGCTGATGCCAGCAAAGGCATCTCCCTCGAGGGTTGGCAGTCCGTGGAAGATCTCAAAGTCGGCCGAGTTCACGACATCGCAGTCGAAGCTGTAGACGGGGTCATCGAGGTTGAAGGCGGGACTCCATGGTGCAATATCACCGAGGCCATTAACCCGGCGAATAGGCGACTGGAGAATGCTTTGGACCTTGTCACGGTGAAGTCGAAGGTTGGTGTTGGGAGAGACCGATGGAGGTGGTCGAACAGGAGGCTTGATCTTGATGATAGGTGTGAGCGGGGGAAGCATCTGATTATCGTGAAGTCGTAGCGGAGAGGACGAAACGGGAGGGCAGAAGCGTGACTTGGTCGGGCTGAAGGGAGAGGATCCTCGCAGACGGGCAATCTCCTCCTCGGCACGGCCTCGAACCTTCATCCTGGGGCGGTCGGCCTCTGAGGTCAGCAGGTAACCCTTCTGGTTGGGTCGGACAACGGATGAATCAAGAGAAGAGATGTATCCACTGTCATCCATGGACGCAAACTTGCGCCTGCGAGATCGTGAGATGGAAGAGGCGGGGTTGCGAGCGATAGGAGGTGGAGTGTTGCTTCGGGGCTCCATGTGCCGAGAGACGGGAGGTGACGAGTGCATGGCAGCGGGAAGAGGTGAGTAGAGGGAGGAGTCGTGAGGAGCATCGTGATCGGCCTTGTCTGCGGCATCTTCGGGACCAATGTTATCAGAGACCGGGATGGTTGCATCCGAAGACAACTCCGGAGGCATCGACATGGTGGCTTGAGAAGTGGGAAGGGGCGGGAGAGTAGCCTGGCTGACGGGAACAGGCGGAGGGAGAGTCGGCTCCTGAATCGGGGCACGAGTCGAACGCGAGGGCTCTAGCCGAGTTGACATGACAGGCAGATTCTCCGAGGCGGATGCAGATTTGCGCGTAGTCTTTTCCTTCAGGAACTGGGACTCGGTGCCGGGTTCGATGGCCCAGTAGTTGCCCTTGCCGGGGTCGTCCTTGGGTCTCTCGATCTTGTTGAAGTTCTTGTGGAGGCTGAGGTTATGGCGGATGCTATTCTGCCAACCGGCATCGGAAGGACTGTAAAAGGAGTAGTTGTCGCTGATCCACTTGTAAATCTGGGCAAGTGTGAGTCGTTTCTTAGGAGATCGGAGAATGGCCATTCCAATCAGTTGGGCGTAGCTGTGAGGAGGCTTGTTGCCGTCATCGATGATGGGTGGGAAGGCGTCGGGAGGAGGAATGACTGCGGCGGTCGGCTCAGTCTTGATCTTCTTTGCTGGTCTTGAGTCCTTGATGGGAGCAGCATCCATGAGCGCTCGCTTGCCGTTGGGCTTGCGGTAGTAGGTTTCGGCGTGGAGGTTGACGGCGGGGGGTGCCGGGAAGAGCTGAGGGCGAATGTTCTCCTTTCCGTAGTCGAAGCTGATATCAATGGATGGCTTTTGAGGGCCCGTCTTGAATTCTGATAGGTAGGGCCCCTTTTGAGGCATGTTGGCGCTGTGGCCTCTGGTTGTTGGAGGAGCCATGGGCACCATGTTCAACTTGTTCCCGAGCGACGAATTCAGGGGAATGTGTGACGAGGAAGACGGCCTTGTCTTGAAGGTCGAATATGTGGCGGATTGGTTGAAGACGACGTTGGAGCTCGAGCTCGTCAGGGGTCGTCGGTTGGGTTTTGTGACTGAGGGCATGGGAGCGTGACTGGTCATAGGGGCGGCGCTCTCGAAGATCTCGTCCTGGAAGATGTCTACTGGCTCGTCCAAAGCCGAAAAACGCGTGTGCTTGGCCATTGTGGCCTTGACGGGAAGCTCGAGGTCGGTTCAATTGCGAGAAGACGAGGATTGCGGTCTGTGACTTTTGCCGGAGGTTAGTCAGTCGACACCGGGGACGGGTAGTGCAGAGCAAGCAAGCCAGGGGATGGAGAGTAGATAACGTCGTAAACGGGATGTAAGAGGTGGACACCGGCAGAGCCTGATGGGACGAGAGTGCATGACGGCAAGGAGGAGAAGGAGAAAAAGGGCTCGAGACTCACTTGGATGGACCGTGTAATCTGTTAATGAGTTGTGGGGCGGTCGATGACAGGGCTGCCGTGACCTTTGCTTGAGGCGTTCAATAGGACAAGCTGCCGGTATCTGGGGTCATCTGCCTTTGCTCCCAATGGCGTCTTAGGCGAGACGGAGGAAGAAGCAAATGCAGTAGGCGGTCGAAGCAGCGGTGGGCAAGAGTCGCGCCGAAACAGACGGATGATACTGGGGTTGAGTTTGACTATAGTAGGGGATGTCGCGAAGATCTGGTCGGGTACGAGTCGGACTGGACCGAGAGATGTTTGGTTGAGGAGAGGGGAAAGATGCGGTCGAAGTAGAGAGAGGGAAAAGAGCGGGAGAAGAAGCTGGATGGATGGGGATGCTTAGGTACACGCGAGAGTTATGCACGGCAGATGGGCGAGATGAGAGCAGAGCCTGTGCGATCTGACTGGCGGATGAATATAGTAACCCTGATGATCAGAGGCGAGATGGATATCGATTGAAGGAGAGAGAGTGAGAGAGGAAGAGAACGTGGAGAGAGTGAGTGAGAATGAGAGAATGTGAGGTGTGGAAAGCGGCGGTTGCTGAATGATTCAGCCAAGGACCAGAGAGAAAGGCCTGCTGGAGACGGAAAGACAGGCAGGCCTGGGCCGGCTGTGGGTGGTGAGGTGAGTGGTCCTCTCTCTCTTTGGCTCTTCTGTCTCTGCTTGGCCGCCGTGCAAGAGGCCCCAGGTGGAGCTCGGCGCAGGGAGGATGATGAGCGCAGTGCCGGGGATTGGGTGGGAGGTGTCCGGGCTGACACGACACGAGTTGATGAGCGAGTGAGAGGCGGCACGGAGATTTACTGGGTAGGCAATGGGCGCGACAATCAATCGGCGGCGGCGGCGACGACGGGCGCGAAACCGGGGGAATCTGATGAGTCTGCCTGGAGGTGGTTGAAGATGCACCCGTTCGTTCCTCAGGTTTATCGAGAATGATGAGGGGAGGAGAGGGAACAGGAAGAAGAACAGGAACCGGCAGAGAGAGCTGGTTTACTGGTAGCTTTACACGGGCAGCTAATGATAGGGCGTGTGCAAGATGGGGGGCGTGGGTGTTTCGGGAATGGGGGGGATTTTGCGCCGCCGACTGACTGACCGACCAAAGGGAGAGACGAAGAAGAGCGTGATCGTGATGGGGATGGGAGAGGACGGAAGAGAGAGAGACCAAGCGACGCGAGAGAGAGAAAAGGTGTGGGGATAGGATAAGGATAGGATGGGGATAGGCAGAGAAGGGTAAAAAAAAAAGTTACTAGGGGCGTGCGGTACGTGCGCCGCGATTGCAGGGGTCACGATGCGTGTGTGTGTGTGTGTGTGTGCGAGTGCAAGTATGAGAGAGCGTGAATGCAATGTATGGATCCATCCTCGATTTTTACTGCCGTAAAAAGTAGCTAGAGCCCAGCTAGGTTTATGCATCCATCATACATCATCAGCCAGCCAAAAGGGTCCATAGCACGTCTCGTCTCGGCTTCGACGCGCGCGTAGCCTCTGATTGGATTTGGAGAGAGAGAGGAACAGCAACGGGGATTGGATGGATTTCTTGTCTGGACAAAGGAAGTGTCGAGGACTACGATCAAGGCGAAACGGGGTCGCGTCTGCTGGCCGCCGGAATGCATCATGTGTTTTTCTTTCTCTTTGTACAAGATTAGAAAGAAAGAGAATGTTCTCGTTTTAGTGCTATGCGACCTCTTTAGAGACCAAATGATTTTACAATCGTGGACGGCAGACAGAGGGTAGAAGAAGCAGATGATGTTCATGGATGATAGGCGTCGTTGGCCGAAACCTGGCTTCCTGTGGTGGAGAGAGAGGGGGATGATGGGTCAGATCTCGATCTTCGACGTCCACTCGCTGTAAAAGCCGGGCGGTCTCTTTTTTTCCCAGACGTTCCGTGCTCTCCGTCCCGTCAGTTTCTCTCTTGTTGGGGCCTTTCAGAGGGCCCGAGAGTGGCGCCAGAACCATGCGAGAGCAAGGCAGATCACGGGCGGGCCATGGATGCAGGATGCGGAAGGCCAATTGTGGGATGATATGCTCCCGGTTAGAAGAGGGGAACCAAGTTGCAGAGGACGAAACTCAAAAAAAGATGTGCTTCCTTTTTTTTTGCAACCAACCAGTCGAAACGCCGCCGTGCCTGTCTGGGCTTTTGAGGTTTCGGAGTTCGGACCTCGCACCTTTGGATGGGCTGAGACCCCCAAGATCTGACCGTCAGAGTTGAAGTGTGTGTGGTTCACAAATGCGACGACACACAGGTCATAATGTCTATAGCATCATCTTTTGGCCTGTGCCTCCATATCAATAACCGTTGGGAGACACTACTTCTTTGTCTCGCCTCTGGAAGCTGGGCGGCAACACAAGATTGAAAGGGAAAAGAAGCAAAAGATGGCATAATCTGTGCAAGAACGCCATACTGCTATTCTCGTCAAGCACAGCCAGCCACATTTCGATAGAAGACACCGTCTCGGGTGCTGACCACTCTCCACTCCACCGAATCGATCAAGCTGTTGGCTCTTGGCAGAGAACAGAGAACGCCTCCCCCAACTCGTGGACCTCCGTTTTCTGCACCACTTGTAACCCATGTCTCGCTTCACCGTTTCCCTCATGCTTGTCCATCCTTCTGCCTCTCCCCCCGTCTCACACGCACATGCTCCCCAGCAAGGCAAGGGCGGAAGACAACTGCAACACGCTGCGGCCTGGTGGTTCCGCCTAGGGTCGCAGAGAGGCGCCGTGTGATTGGGGGGTTGTCCGTGGTTCAGGGAGGAATGCCAAGAGGGGTCAGTCAAGGGAGAGAGAGAAAAGAGGCCGACCGTTTTGATTTGACTTTGCTTGTCTGCTTCGGAGGGTGTCCTTCGCCTCCGGTGAACGGCGGCCTACGGGCGCATGGGTGAGAAAAGTGTGGGTGGCATCTGGGAATGGCCTCTTGATGGACGATGGTGCTATAGCATGCTAGCTGAGAGCTTAGCTGCAGCGGGGAAGGAGGGAGGAGGAGGAGGAGGTGGACGCGTCTCGGTCGGGGCCAGACGCGTCTTCTGACACTTTTCTTGTTTGGATTGGAACTCTCCCTAGCCAATCATTCACCGCCAATCCCCAGGGTCTGAAGTTTGGTGGTGGTGGTGGTGGTGCCTGGGCTGAGTTTCTCAGAGTTGAATTGCGGCGTCTGGAACATCGTGACCGACCGAGGTCGGCCTTGAGGAGAGCCCGGGCCGGCAGTTTGATCATCGTCATTGACAGATCATGATGTCTTTTAATTTAGAACAAAGCTTTGAAACCAGAGTGAGGCCCGAGTTCGACATCACAAGCTTCCCCTTGCAGTAGTTCAACCTTTATTGTCCCATTGGGTTTGCTTCTTGGGAGTAAGGAGAAAGAGAGGGGACCCTGTGGCGTATCTTCAGGCTCAATTAGAGGTAAACATGGGACGTCCGCCCTGGTCGAGGCAAGGGGAGAACAAAGGCCGAGGCCAAGCCATCAAGGCAGAGCTGAGATGGAGGCTTCTAACGAGTGTCGGGTCTATCTGTGGAGAAACGCCCAGGCCCGTTTCGGCAGGTGGGGGTCGTTTGGCATCCCTCCATGAGATCAAGCAGGAGGAAGAGTTGGAAGCATCAGATCAGATTCTTTGATGGTTGTCCTATCTAGAGAGTATAGAGTATGGCCGCTTGAGTTTGAGTTAAGCAAGGTCAAGGTATTCACGAAAAAGAACCAAAATCTGGTTCAACATCATCATCTGCATATTCCCCCCCAGCCTCACTTCAGCTGCCCGGAGTCACCGTCTGTATCTCGGCAAAACGGAGCAGCTGGCATGGATCTTTGTCCCGCTCTGCCGTAATGAACCCGGCGACTCAAGTTTAAGCTCAAGGACTCTCATTAAAAGAGAAAGAAAAATAAAAAAAGTCCGGCTTTTGGGCTGATGACGAAACGTTTGGACCTATTTTTACACAGCCTCTCCCACTAGCTGCCTTGCTTGGCTCCCAAAGTTTGTTACGGTTCATTCTTGTTCTCCCTCTGCAAGTGCCGCAACCCAACCTCTCGTCTTTGACCAGGGGGCGGTAGTTGGAACCACGAGACCGACAGTTTCAGCTGTCAGAGTAAAAAGTGGTGGAATGGTTTGTCAATGGCACGACAATGCCGTTTGTCTGTTCGGTTTGTTCACGTTCCGGAGATACCTCCTTGGTTGGAGACCGGTCCCCCTCCAAGCCTGGATGTTCCATGCCTGGCCTCGGAGAAGAGGGGGCACATCCGGGTGCTATTCGCTCGTCATGATGAGCTATATGTGTCTATCCATCCATCACATCAGCTGCAAGCCATGTGGTGGTGGTGGTGTTCGTGTCATGTCATCGGGGATGTAGGCATCAAAGTTGGGTTCCGACGCGTCAAATAAGACGCGTCTCTTACTCCAATTGACTCGACCCCGATTATTTACACATTGCCGTTTCAGGCAAGATGTACACTTGAGAGGAATGATGGGATAACCCAAAATGCGACCGCCCTCTGACTTGTTCCTTCACCTGACTCTTTTTTTTATCCTCTATCTATCAACGGACCCTGAGCCGAGTTCCATCTGTTTAACCAAGTAATGCATGCATTTGACCGCTCATCCTTCTCGTCAACACGCCCCCCTCTTCACCCCTTTCCCATCCGTTCCCCCTTTCTTATATGCCTTTCTCTTCTCGCCTCGACTGATGCCCATGCCATGCCATGCCATGCCGTGACATCATGACAGCCCAGCCGTTGGGCAAACCAATTCAATTCAATACAGCCAAGACAAACCAAGCAAAAAGCCAACCCGGCCCAGCCCCTGCCTTGGAGGCGATCCCGTGCTTCACCAAATCTAAATTGGTGTCCACACCGAACACGCTCCTCGAGGCCATTCGCCCGTTGGCAGAGCCCCCTCCCCCGGCATACCGGGTCCCTCCCGCCCCATGGGATGGGATAGGCCCGTTGTAAATGATTTTCATTCTTCCTTTTCTCTTACTCTGTAAAGGAATCCAAATGGAAAGAGTCAGCCCTCATCTGCCGATGCCTGCATGAGATGCCAATCTTGCCGTGGAACCAGGATTTCCTTCTTTGGCGAGATTCACGGTCCTTGACAACTCATCTAGCTCCGAGCTAAGGCCATCCCCTCCTCACACAATCTGATCTGAGCTTCTCGCCATTAATGATAGAGAATCATTCATTTTGTTTCCTTCTTTTTTCTGCCTTGCTTTTTTTTCATTTTTTCATGAATATTCCTTGCTGTAAATGAATGACCCCCCCTTGAGTCAGCTTGCATCTGCCCCGTGAGACCCGCCTTGTAGACCAACCTATCGTGGAAGCTTCCGATATAGGTAATTTATCCCTGCAGATATATCGGAAGTTCCGTATACATTCATGGAGCTATACTCCGTATTCTAACACTAGCACTACTGTCTAAACTCCCGCCGTCGACCTCCTCCAGCTGAGTCTGCTTGTCATCATCCCTGCCTTTACTCTAGTCCGGTCCAACGTCGCCCTCGACTTGACAAGTCGAGTCTTCCTCGGCCTCGGCCTCGGTCCCGTCTCCGCATCCCATAGCGTTCTCTAGGCTACCTATCTCACTCACTACTGACCGGTATGATGGGCCTTCCAAGGCACCATCGGCCGTTAGGAATGAGGTAGCCGTGAGCACTCACAACCCAACCCTGGCTCTCCTCTACATCCCTGCCTGCTGCTCACTCTACTCGCACCTCGCTTCCATGCATCACGAACCTCTACTTCTTGCATGTTTCATACTAATTGACACGTCCACTTGCACTACCACACTGAGGGATTGTGCAGAACCACCATGGGCTCTCCAGACTCACACTGACCTGATCCCTTCTCACACGCTTGTCATCGGCCCCCACAGCACAGACACCTGAGCTTCCACATCCAAGACATTCGTCCCCGTCTTTCAACAACGTGAATCGATGCAGTGGCTGGGTCATGGCTGAGACCTCCCCAGCTATGACAAGAAAACGCCCGCGTGGCACCGCCTGTTCCAGGTCACCGAGGTACCGTAACCGATCTCTGTCGGAAGGGACCACCTTGACTACTGAATGCCGGCCGAGGCCATCGTGAACCCGGCTGGCTGCTTTATCACAGAGTACAACAGCGAACGCTCGCAACGTTCGCCCCACGTGGGACAGACATCACTCAAGTCAAAACCCATTCCTAGTCAAATAGATATTCACAATTACATATTGAAACCGCTGGGGTCACCATTGCCCGCGTTCCACTGCACTACATCCTGCCTCTACATCCCTTTGCTCAACGTTGCACCTCTCCCGAGTCCCCTCTCCTATCTACCTACGCACACAATCCTATTAGTCCAAAACTCGCCCAGCCACCGCCGCTTGACTCTTGTCCCTGGTTGTTGTCTTCTTGAGCGACCTGCCCAGCTGAATCTCGCTCAGGAAACCAGCGGGTCGGCCTCCCCCGGAAGGAGGTGCTGGCGCATCTCCAGGGGGCGGCGGCGGCGGCGGCGGAGGTGGGGCTCCACCAGCAGGCATCGGGGGAGGGGGAGGCGCTCCGACGGATGGCATCGGAGGGGGTGGTGGAGGAGCCGAAGGTGCATCGGATCCGGGCATAGGAGGAGGAGGGGGCGGCGGCGCAATTGGGACGCCACCCTCAGGCATGGGCGGAGGAGGTGGTGGTGCAGCAGCAGTAGGCAACGGCGGTGCCGGGGGAGGAGATATGGGGGAGTTGACACTTGGGGGAGCCGGGCTAGCCGTTGTCGAGTCCCTGCCGGCTGCCGACAGAGGGCGAGGAGGCGCCATGGTGCCGAACAGGATCGATGCCAGCTGTGCCGCGTTTCCGCCGCCGGGACGGTCATCGTCAGAGTCGTCAGAGTCATCGTCCTTGTCGGAGCCCCAGTCATCCGTGTCCGCACGACGGCGCGAGACGGGAGCCGCAGGTGCAGCCGGAGCCTTGGTCTCCTGGTTCTGAGTGATGCGGTGGAAGGGGTTCGTAGAGACATCAGGCGTAGGCGCAGCAGGAGCGGGAGGCGCCGGAGGAGCAGCAGCTGGGGCAGCAGCCGCATGCTCGTTCGACTGAGACATCATCCGGAAGAATGGATTCTTGCTCTCACTCTCAGCGGGTGGTGATGTGATAACCGCCGGAGGGGGGGAGACAGCAGCCGCAGCTGGAGGAGGCGATGGCTTCCTCTCTAATTCTTGGCTGGCCAACTGGCTGCCGGCCATCGTGGGTGTCGAGGCCTGAGGGGTGATCTGTTGAGGACCATCGTCATCATCTGATGAAGAGCTGTCGTCATCCATAGCCTCAAGTTGACGTTGGAGCTCAAGCTCACGCTGGCGAGCAGCCTCAATCTCGGCTCGTCGCGCGGCAAGCTTGGCCTCCTTCTCCTTGGCTTCAGCGAGAGCGGCCTTCTTTCGCTTCTTCTCTTCCTCCTTGCGCAGCTTGCCCTGTCTCACTTGTTCCTCGAGGGCCTTGAGACGAGCGTCGGCAGCCTCTCGCTCACGAGCAAGGTCATCTTCCTGTGCCTTTGCTGCTTCCCTTCAAGGTGTTAGCCAATGTTTTATCGTAGTTGTGTAAGAGGTGGGTGATACATACTCCATCTTTTGCGTTTCACGCTGTTGTTGCTCATGCTCCTGAGCGAGCCTCTCTTCCTCGGCCTGCTTCGCAGCAGCAGCAGCTTCCTCCTCAGCTTTCTTTGCGGCGTCGAAATCTGCCTCAGGCTTGCCACGATGTCGAGTGGGTGGAGGCGGGGGCTTCTTGGCCTCTGACTTGGGCTGCTCAGGGGCGGGTGGTGGGATACCCTGCTCTTCCGCGAGACGGGCTTGTCGCTCAGCCTCTCGACGAGCATCATCCTCCTCAGCCTGGCGAAGCTTCGCGGCTCGCTCAGCTCTCTCACGCTCCATACGTTGAGCGGCTGTCTCGCCTGACTTAGTAGGGGCCTTGATGCCAAGGGCAGCCAGGCGCTCAGCCATACGCTGCTCAGCCTGTTGCTTGATGAAAGCAGCGCGCTCCTCAGGAGTCTTATAAGCCGAGTAGGATCCTCCAGAGGGTGTAGCCGTGCGAGAGGTGGACACGGGGCTTTCGATCCGGGGACTGGCAACACGCTCCGGGCGAACCTCCTCGGCGGCTGCGCTCCGGGCGGGTCGCTTGTCTTGAGCGCGGGTTCGAGAAGCTCGGCTCTCACGCTGGAGATCAAAGATAAAGTCACGGACCTCATCCTCGACACCGAGAGCGTCCTCCCATCGGCGCTTCTCATGCTCGCTTGTGCTATCACGGCCACCCTCCTTGAGGCTGTCCTCAATACCTCGGGCAAAGTCTCGAACGCTTTCCTCGACATCACGAACCATGCGCTCGTTACTCTCCTTTTCGTTCTTGACCTTGATGTTCTCCTCCTCGAGTCGCTTGGGCGCATCGAGATCCTCAGTGCCAACATCAATCTTCTTTCCGGTCAAGGCGGCAGTTCGCTGCTGCATCATGGCCTTGGCCCTGGCCTTGAGTCGATCCGACTCAGTCACAGTGCCGCCAGGTCCAGTGCCTACAATGGGAGTACCACTGCCGGGATGAGCCTTGGCGTCCTTGATGCGGAACAGCTCGAGCCTGGCCTCCATGATGGCCTTCTCGGTTCTTCGTACCTGAGAGGCAAGCTCTGGAACCTTGTCTGTAAGGTTCTGAAGTTGGCGCTTGAGAGCTCTTCTCTCCGCATCGGAGTCTCCACTGATAAGAGCAGCATCAGGATGAGAGTCAATGTCATCTTGAATGCGACGGATGCGACGATACAGCTCCTCCGCCTCACGTCGATCTCGCCGGTCGAGAATGTCATCCTCCTCATGGTTCTTCTCATCAGCGAAATCCATAGCATCCAAAAGGACCTCCTTCTCCTTGATCTTCTTCCTCAGCTGGTCCAAGGTTAGATCATCGCTGGAAGCAACAGATGCTGGGGAGTCAGGCCGGGGAGAGTTGTTGCCAACCCTACGACGAGCACTAGATCTGTATCCAAACTTCTCATCTTCGTTCTTGAAGACAGTGGCATCCTTTCGGCCTGCAACAGCTCCAGCAGGAGCACCCCTGAACGAGCGGTTCTTCATGTAGCTCACACCCGTCTTCTGAGGCAGCAAAGCAGCACCAGACTTGGTGCGGAACTCAGATTCGTCGTGAAGCATTGACTTGAGAGTGCCAATCGACTGGCTGAAGTTGCGTGTCGAAGGAGGCACGAGCTCCGGAGGAAGATTGTTGGGCAGGGGGTATCCATTGAGCTTTCTGTAGATCAAATGCATGGCAACAGCAAACTCGTCGAGGTCAAGACGGCCCTTGTTACCATGATCTGCCAGCGTCCAGACTCTTTCTAGGTCGGGCTTCTCAAGTCCACTCTGGCCAAAGATCTCAATGGCTTGGTCGCCACCGATGTAACCCTTGCCGAGGCCATCCCAAGCCTTAAAGAGGGAATCGTAACGAGTCTTCTCCTCCTTGGTAATTGCCCAAGGGATGACGGCATTCCCTTGAAGGCCTTGGGTGGTGAAGTTACCACCCTCTCGGCCCTGCTGGGGCATCATACGAGCCTGCAGAGCATCGATATTGGGGAGACCGGTCGAAGGAGCGTTAACCAGACCCCATTGACCCGGGCGACCCGTGGGTTGGGCGTTCAAGGGGGCAGCCATGCCACCAGCTCCAGCAGGCGAAAGCGATTGTCCAAAACCCGTAGGCATGGGGGGCATTGGAGGCCGAGGGCCGCTGTATCCAGTAGCTTGAGGGTTGTTCTGCATGCCCGCGAAGCCAGTCGGCTGAGACTGGACGCCTTGTTGCCCGAATCCTGTCTGTTGTCCAGGGAAACCCGTCATCTGAGCCGAGAGCAGCTGCGAGTTGGACGCTTGAGGCTGAGGCTGCTGGATCGTAGGAGGAGTCGCGGTATTGGTCCTGATATCCGGGGTATTGCTGCCTCCCTCGTCGGCGACGCTGAAGCTGATGATATCCACCATGCTCGACACCTCGTTCTTGACATTCTCGGGGAGCGATGGCGGCAGTTGCTTGCCAGTGAGCTTCAAGTTGCATAGGTACATGGCGAGCGCAAATTCGGGAAAGTACAGCTGACCGGCACGAGTGGTGTCAGCGAGAGTCCTATGACAGGTTAGCTTAACTGCTAGATCGCAAATCAGTATATAAAGTAGAAACCCAATGCTCACCAGATGTGCGACAGAGAGTCGCCGTCGAGCCTTGAGCGCATAAGTAGGTCGCGCGCCTTCTCTCCTGACATTGTCATACCCTCGCCAACAGCAGACTTGAACAAGGTCTCAAACTTGGCCTGGTCCTGCGCCGTGATAAAGGTAAGTCGGATGTTGGGGATCTTGTTGGGCTGCTGCTTCTCTGCCCGGCGCCCTCTAGGCTTCGCAGTGCCGCCGGTCTGGAAGGAAGCGGCCATCTCGGTGAACCCAGTAGCTTGGGGCTTCATGGGCGGGGGCGGCGGTTGAGAAGGGCCAGAGGGTGGCTGCGGCGAGGCGGAAAAGGAGGTCTGCTGGTTCAATCCAGGTTGCTGCTGCTGCTGCTGCTGTTGAAACTGCTGCTGAAACTGCGGCGGGATCGACGGCATCGGGGGGGCGCCGGTCTGGAAGCTCTGTTGCTGCTGAGGATGCTGCTGCTGTCCCGGAAAGCCGGTAAACTGCTGCTGAAGCGGCTGAGTCGGCTGCAGTCCCTGACCCTGCATTGGGAAGCCGGTGAACTGCTGTTGCAGAGGAGCCTGTCCGAAGCCCGTAGGCTGGGGCGCAAAGGGGCCAGGTTGCTGGCCGGGCTGTTGCTGCTGGCCTGCGCCCAAGTTTCCGAACGATCCTCCACCATATTGTTGTTGTTGCCCGGGTCGCTGGCTATTTCCGCCTAGAAAGGCGTTGGAGTTGGAGTACATGGCGGGCGAGCGCTGCCGTTGTGGTAACCCTCCGCTGTCAAGACCACGTATGAAGCTCGTTCGTTCGAGGGGGAGACGCTAAATCGGGGGGTTGACGACGTCGCGGATGGAGCGTTCAAGCTCCAGGAGTACTAGACTGATAGAGAGTGTAGGTAAGAAATATCAAAGATTAGAATACGAAAGGACGGAAGCCCTCAAATGGCATGCGTAGAGCAGATGGAGGGCATCCACTTGGGGGTGATAATGGAAGTTTTGATGATGAAGGTGGAGGATTAAAGAAAGAACGAGAGTGAGAGCGAGAGAGTGCCCGAGCGTGGCTTGGTTGGTGATGACGACCTAGCGTCTCGCCAGGCCAGGCAGGTTGCTAAAGGTTCCAGTGGAGTCACCCCCGTGGAGCGCCGCCTTCTCAGTGGTGCCTTGGGCCCAGAGCAATTTGAGGTACGGAGTAGCTTGGGCTCCCCTGGACCAGGCAGGGATTGGCGGACATTCTGCGAGTTATTGCGGCGTGGTACGGAGAAGCTCGGCTATTGTGTTATTGTGCATACATTCATGTGCCATGACGACGCTGTGTTGAGTGGTTGTGAATGGCAAGACATGGTGTTGCTTGAAGCAACTCAGTCATGAGGGTCCAACTTTACATAGGTACTCACAACCAGCACAATGCTTCACGCCCTACACAACTGTACATAACAATTACTCATTAAAAACAATGAAGTCGACCTGTCTAAGTGAAAACTCGCGAAGGGTATCAAGAGTGAGTATACGCAGCAAATCCAGACCCCCATCCAATCAATAGATCCCTTCAACGCCTGCTGCTTGCCAGATTTCTTACAACAAAAAGAACTCCAAAAAATGATCGCAAAAGGCCGGTCAAATCCGCTCCTTCGTACATGTGTTAGTTTCCATTACTTCATTTATCCATTCTTCATGGACGCCGTTCATCAACTTGAATCCCATTGTCCTCCTCCTCAATGCATCCAGCCTCATCACTCCAGAACCTTCGGTGAGCTCGGAGCTCCAGTCCGAATTCTGCGTCCTGGGGATCGGCAAATGTGTAGTCGTTGTCGGGGGACCCCAGAGGAGCCGCCGGGGTCTCTTCCAGGTTGCCCAGCAGATACTCCTTGTCCACTGGGCTTTCAGCCTCAGGGGGTGTCGGGACTGCTGAGCCTGTGCTTGGGCTTTCGCCAGTGGCACTCATGCCCCCTTCACTCGAGACGATCGAGTAAGATCTTGACCAAGATCTTGATACTCTGGTGCTAGGATCAAAGGAAGATCCAATCAGGCGAGTTGCCCCCAGAGATATGGTGCTAGCTCTCTTCGGGTTCAGGGTTGGGTTTGACATGCGACGTGTCTGTGCCCGCTTGGCCTCGAATGACTTCAGCGCCAGCCCGCCGAATGCCTTGGAAAAGTCTTCTTCGCCGTCGCTAAACAGGAAGCCTTCTCCTGAATCATTTCGGCCATCTTCTCCTGCTTCAAAGAGCAGTCGATTCCTTTCCAGAACCTGTTGCTGCGTTTGTACCGAGTCCTCCCATCCATCCCTCAGCTGCTGCGCAAGAGGGAGACTGATGCTTGGGGGAACCTTGTCATGTCGTAGCCTAGACATCATCGACTGCCTGCGTGCTGTGGAAGTGGCAGCAGCCACAGCGTTGTCGACCGATTTCTGGATAGTCTGGGCGAGATCGCGATCCGAAAATGCCGAGAAATAACGGATCGTCGTGCTATCGCTAAGATGTTTCACGAGATGCCTGAAATTAGAGAGATTAAAGTCATTGCCCTCACAGTCGAGGCTGTGGAGCGTCTTGTTGGCAGAGATGGCCTCTGCCAGATCACCAATGTTGACGTTCAACATCTGACTTCGTACACGAAGGTGTTCAAGCCGCGTGTTTGATCGAAGTCCACTCAAGGCCTTGGAGAAACGTCGACCAAGGCGACCTTCGTCTAGCTTGGCATCAAAGCCAGAGAGGTCGAGGAATCTGATGGTGTTGTTATTGGAGAAGAGGTCTGCGAGCGCCTTGCAGGCTGTCTCGCTGGCCGAGTCGGGGGTGGCTGTTCCGGCCAGGCTGAGGCACTCGATCGTTGTGTTGACCGTGAGCGCTTTCAATAGCTTGATATAGTTCGTCTCCAAAGCGAACTCTACCATTTGGATGAATAGACCCCATGGGCCAAAACCCTCAGTGATGACTGCGCACATGTCATCAATGCCCTCATCTAGGCGATTGCCATTGATGTAAAGGGTTATTTGTCTGGCAGGGCCCATAGCATAGAATATCTGGGCGATTTGAGCTCCTGTTAGGCCGCATTTGCTTAGGCGAAGCACTCGCAAGTTGTCCGAACTAGGTGCAGCCAAGTACCCAGTCAAGATGTCAACTGTTGGAGCATTGAGCTAGGGTATGTTAGTCTTGATTAAAACTGGTAGATGGGACATATACTCACTGCAATACCAGACAAGTCAAGCTCCTCCAGGGCCCAAGTGTGCAAGGCCGATTCGTCAAACAAGGGAACATCTAGCGGGATGCGGGTGTTTCCGGCAATGTTGAGCTTCTTGATGACCTGGAGTTGGCTGAGCGCGTCGTAAATGATCTCGAATTTGACAGTTCCTTGGTTTTCCGAGGTGTCGATGTGCTGTAGGCTGGTGCCTTGGCCTGCGATACCAGTCCATAGAGTTGTAAGACCCTCATCACCGAGCCCGCAATTTGCCAGATCGAGTTTTCTCATGTAAATATCTTCGAGGACGAGGAGATTCGCTAGTGAAAGGTCAATAAACACTCAGGGGTAGTCAACAAAAAGAGTAACTAACATAGCTCCTCAACATCGGCCGGCGCAAGGAGGTTACCGGCCATGGTGATGCTGTGACAGAGGCAAGCCTGGCGCCTCAACAACATGAGGATCGGGCGCAGAACTTCTGAGCTGACTCTTCGAGCACCCTCATGATCTTTGGAGCGTCGAGTCGTGCTTTGAGAGCCCAGGATGTTTCTCAAGTCCATGCTACGAATAGACTCAGATGAGAAGGCCAGAGCATGCATCTCCTGACTAAGGACGGACGCTTGCATCAAAAGATCATAGTGCTCTTCCGAGATTTTGATTCCTATGCATGTTAGTTAATTGTGCACGCCGCGAAAAGAAGTGAGTTGTACCATTTAGGGACGTGTAGGCGATGGCATCTCCAAAGTGAGAATAATCCTTCTTGCCAGCAAGACCAGACAAGTCGATATTACGGAAAGAGAGCTCCTTGAAGTAGCTGTTGTAACGCAAAGCTCGGAAAAGTGCGAGTAGCTGTAGTGTAGAGTAGGGCTGTCCACTTGAAGGCAACAAGCGAAAAGCGGGTTGAGATGGCGTGTTCCATTCGATAGTCCATCGAGGAACCTGGACTTTGAAGGCGGCGCAGTATGCGTGCAAGCTTCGCTCCAGTCCGCCCAAATCGTTGCCCGAGGTCAAGGAGAGAGGCGGGGGAAGCCCCTTGATGTCAAAAATTGCCTTTTGCAGATGTTGCGGCCACATCGGCTTGAGTTCCCGGTCTACTTTGGTCATGGCCTCAATGACTCGTCGATAATGAACACTGGCGAGCTCGAGTCTACTCTCGCGGCCGAGGGGAAGTCTGAGCAACGTTAGTACATCAGGGGTTTAACGAGGACAAGGCATGCAGCGTCTTACCGAAAGCTCATGACAAATCTCTGTTCGTGCGACGCAACGGATGCTCGGAAGCGGATGAGTGAAACTGTGCCAAAGGACTGAACCTTCACACGCAGGTCACCGGGGGTGGTTGCATAATCTGCCTTGAGAACCTCGAGGAAGTACAGCATGCATGGTCCGATGACAATGTAAAACGAGGGACCGTCCACAAAGTGCTGAGAGTCCTCGGCCGAGTTGGTCTTTTGGGGTGCCCCAATTGTGCGCTTGACAACGGGAAAAGTCAGTATCTTAGAGAGACTGTTGTTCGCATCAGGCTCCGTGGTCTCGACGATGTGATTGATTCTGGCCTTGAGGTTGCCGGGGATCAATGATGGAGGTGGTGATCGTCTGAGGTTCATCCTGCAGGCCCTCTGAATGCTGGCAAGCCAGTCATCACGGTCCTTGGGAAGCATGAAGAACAGGTGTGTCTTGGAGTATGCCAGCTTGGGCCACTGAGCAAACCACCAGACTTCGATGCCGAACCGCGGGCTTGAACCTTCCTCATTAAATACAGCAACGATAGAACGTAGAGGAATCTCCATACGGACATCTGCTGCTGAGGACTTACCGCCGCCAGAATAGGGGGAGCCGCCAGGCTTCAACATGCCGTCCCCCTGATCCAGCTGCGGGAAGACAGCCCTTGCGGCCTCGGCACTCCCAAACTTGACCAAACAGGCGTCGGTGAGAACAAGGTATTCGGCGCGTGCCTTGAGGAGTGTGACATCGGTTTTAAGGGGGCCATATTGGGCAACCTCCATGGACGAATAAGGCACCTCGGGGGGCATTGACGAGAATTCGGGGGCGGATGCGCTCATAGGCGACACGCTCGAGACTCGGCGGTGAATTCTATCGATCATGGATCCGGAACCGGAGTGGTTCTTTTGGAGACGGCGGCTGGAGGTCGAGTTTCGAGATGGGCTCTGGGACATGGACTCCATGGACGAGTTGCTTAGGGAGCGGAGGGCCTTGGAGAAGACGCGAGGCTTCTTGCCGTCGCCATTTTCAGACTTCTTTTTCTCATTATGAGGGATCGGGACAGGGGGCGTCGTGCGTAGAGTCGGGAGAGTCTTCCTCCTCCACTTTTCGGCGTTCATTGTGATGAGGTCGCGATCGTCGGCGGTTTTGCGTCAAGACCCAGTTCTTTGGGGTTTCCCAGATCAGCAAGGATGGAGAAGCAGATTGAGGATCAGTGGATGCCTCGCATGCCGCCAAAAAAGACAGGATCTATCAGGAACTTGATCAAGTTGGATTGGATATGGGAAGACGTCTTATGAGGATGCGTCTCCTGGTGTGAAGAGACGTGACGCCGTGGAGCAAAGATGAGAACGGCGCGGAGACTGCGCAACAGGCAGGGTCACCTAGACGTCAAATTGTCTCAGTCCTCGGCTACTATGTCTTGGAAGTTTGTTAAATCAAGCCAAGAACTCCCCCCCGCATGCGTGAGTGCGTGGTCGTTGAAGCGGGATGCGGAACGCGGATGCGGAAGCGTTGGCTGGTGTCAACGCCCGTGGTTGAACAATTTTTTGGGTTGGGTAG